CTCGATCGTCGTCAAGTCGGTCGTGCCATTCGTGAGCGCCAGCGCGATGCGGTCGTTGACGGCGCTGCAGAACGCTTCCATGCGCTCTCGGAACGAGAGGCTGGCCATGGCCTCGGGCACGCTCACGCAGAGCTCTAACGGCACCTTGTGGTTGTCGGGCGCCTTGGAAAACGTCAGATCATAGGCGTCCGGAAGCAGCGTCAAGAGCTGCGCGAGCTCGTGCTCGGAAAAAGTGCTACACGATAGACGCGTCGGGTGGCCGGGATCGAGGCGCGTATGTACCATTTGGCCGACGACTCGATCGCGCGGCGCAGCGCCGAGAAGCTCGGCGTACGCTTGTACAAGTTAAGCGTCGTGATGCTAAACTCGAGCGACGCAAAGAGCTGCACAAGCGTCACGAGCTGCGGCGGCGCGTGCTCGCTCAGCGCGTACTCGGCGTACGGCGTCCCGTCCACCGCTGGCTTGGCGTCGACGGCCGGCGCGTCGACCTTGACGCGCTTTGCGTCCGTCGCCATTGCGGCCTACGTCGGTCGCAGCGTCAGAACCCGACCGGCCGTCGCTCGTACTACCTCGCCCGCCCGCTTCGTTGCACTTGGCATCGCAAATAAGGTTCCTGCAAAACTGGCCGCGGATCCGGACATCCGGATAATGCAAATCCATTCGCGCCATTTGCATCATCGACCTTCACGATCGCATGCACCCTCGCCGTCGTTGGGTGCCATAGGTCTGCACTGCTGGGAGCTGGTCCTTGGCATTTCGATGGCTCTCGAAGCGTTTGAGGCGTGTCCCGAGACGGCTGTGCACGCTGGTGTCTCGCTTCGATGAGAGTCTTGGCCTGCACGCTGCCGTCTGTGCTGCACCTTTGCCGCAAGACCAACGCAGTGGGCACCGTCGACCTCGTGGCGCAGCTCTTGACGCAAGTTGTCCAACCGATGGCAGTTGGCGATACTGTGGCCATGCCCTGGGACTCTCGAGCGGCTTGGCCTCAACGCACTGTACGTTGTGCTCCAACGGCTCATGATGGCTTGAGAGTCGTGGAAGCCCAGCCGCAGGTTCGTCGAGGTCGCGCCGCCCCGTCCGCCCGTTGTTTGACGTGCCCAACCTGCAAGAGCTTCTCCTCGCTGGCGACGTCGCGCTCATCGCCACAGACCTTCGAGGCGTCAACCGGGAGGAGTCACGGCGCCGACTCGAAGACGGTCGCGTTCCTCCAATAAAGTCTCTATTTATGCAAAGCGTGTGTATTACGACTCGTCGTCTGGGAAATCCACATCAATCTCAGACGATAGCGTGCATCTCGGCCTTGGCCTGCTGGAGCGCGAGCAGTTTGGCCGAGAGCTCGGCGCGGGCAGTGGCGTTTCCGTCGCGCAAAAGCCGTTCGAGGACCGCATCGGTGGCCTCTGTCGTCGCCAGTCGATGTCGGAGCTCGGTCATGAACGGCGCCAAGAAGCGCGCTTGGAGCAGCATCGGGATCTTGTCGCTGAAGCGCTTGGCGGCCACCTGCAGATACGCTTGCAGCGCCCAGAGCAGGTCGCGCGCCTGGAGGTCGTCGAGTGACTCGTGGGTCATCGCATGGAGTTGCACCAGAGCCTTGACCGCGCCCATTGAGACGCGTCCGTCGTCGGTCTCGGCTACACAAATCAAATCAAATGAGCATCGCGGGATTGAAAGCCACGACAGTCATACTGTGTACCTGCAAGCGCGTCTAGGGCCGACAGCAGCGGCGTCGACCGCTGAGTTTGGAACGCAGCAACCACGTCCGAGTTCACCGTGTACGGCCGTCCTTCCATCGCGAGGGCTTCCTGCAACGTCTTTTCCATCTCTCGGCCAAGCGATGCCACGACGTCCGTGGCGACCGCTTTGATATGCCGCTGCAGCGGACCCACACTTGTGCTGGACGCTACAGCGCGGTCGAGAAGGGCGGTGAGCGCGTCAGCGTACGAAGCGTAGAGGGCGTGCATGGGCGCATGCCATTGCCGAATGTACTGCTGCCGCACAACGTTGGCAAAGGTTGCGTACGAGAGGAAGAGCGGGAGCTCGTCGCCGCGATTGGCCGCCATGAGTGTCTTGATCGCGTCGAGGTTGAGCCGCGGCAGGTGGCGCCAATCGAGGCTGTACGCGAGCCACGGCGACGGCTGCGACAGCGTGCGCACCTCGT